TGTGCTTTTTTAAAAAGTAGTTTATTTCTTCTGTGAGAGAGAGAGACAGAGAGACAGAGAGACAGTTACCCCCAGCAGGGTTTCTGTCTGCCGTCCATGCCATCTGTGTCTCTGCCAGCCTGGATCCCAGGCATCTGTGCACATTCCGGCATGCCCAGGGAGGTCCCTGGTTGTGAACCCAGGACCTTTCCTACGTGGATCCAGTTGTATTACTGCAGCACCTCCTGGCCTCTAAACTTGCACTCTAATCCTACTTTTCTATGAACCTTTGAAGTCCTTGTCTGTAATAGATTCATTTTTTTCTCTAACTTCGTGCTGAATCCAAACTATTAATATCATTTTCAGGATGCCATTTTGGAAAGGTAGGGTCTCTCATCCTTCTCTACCTGGTTTCTTTAAAACAAACTACTTTTAACCCTTTGTTCCATGGCGGTTTGAATATGCACACTGCTCAGATGGATCGGGTGGAGCTTTGTGTTTGCCACCTGGGTCTTCATGTGGTCATTACGCATCTCCAGGAGCACAGGGGGCCTCAGTTGTTATATTACAAATAAAATAAATTGCTGGGACCAGCAGTTAGCGTAATGGCTATGTCACTGGACTCCCACGTAGTCAACCGTGGTTCAAGTCCCGGACCCGATGGCTTAAACTCACGCCAGGCACGTGTGCGTGCATGCCCAAGATCCTGAGAGGAGAATGGAGGAGAAGGGATTGCGGCGTGGCCATCCCCCCTGGGGGGTGATTTCTCGCTTTCTGTCTGTCTGTCTGGCGAGCGCACACGCCCTATAGCAAAAACCTCTCCAAAAAAAAGAAAAATAAATAAATAAATTGCTATGGTCCTTACTTATGGAAAGTCAATAGCATTCAATCAATACATAGCAAACTATTAGGTTGTTGGGAAAGTCATGATCTATTTTGCTATGTTTTTCTATGCAAAAATGTGTCATGATTTTCAGGACCGCCTAGTAGTCAGAGATAAATGAAGCCACACTAACTTGGACTGGCGATCCCACCATCCCAGTACCCTCGAGTCCGCGGGGTGGTTACGTCCACAGAGTGGTTATGTCCACGTCAGGTGTGTCTGCTCTGTCTCCCCTGCTAGAGGTGCCTTTGCTTCAGTTCCCCCCTGTGCTCTCAGAGCTGGGAGAAACTGCAGAGCCTTTATAAGCGGTTTCTGTTGTTGTCTTTCCCCATCGTGGACGTTGTAGAGAGTCTGATGAAAGGTATGGCCCCTCTGTAGTAAAACCAATGAGTGCCTATGAGCAAGACATTTTCATAGGAGTTTATGGAGTTCCTGGACCATTTAAACATATCCACAGGGAAGTTCTGATCCCAGTATGTGTCTCGTACAGATGAATAAATTGAGGGGTAGAGAGATGTTGTGATTTTCTTTTTTTTAAGTTTTATTTATTTTTAGTGTTATTTTTGCTATAGGGTGCATGCACTCGCTAGAGAGAGAGAGGGAGAGAAAAGAGAAGGAGAAAGTGAGAAATCACTCCCCTGGGTCGGGGGATGACCCCACCACAATCTCATTTCCTCTATTCTCCTCTCAGGATTTTGGGCACGCATGTGCTTATGCCTGGCGTGAGTTTTAAGCCATCAGGTTCAGAATGCAAACTGTGGTCAGTCATGTGGGAGTCCAGCGCCTTAACCACTATACCACCTGCTGGCCACATTATTATTCTTTCACTTGACCAGAGAGAGACAGAAGAGCATGCAAGCTGCCAGGTCTGTGACTCGAACTGCAGTCGACCCTGTGGGAGTCCAGCGCCTCAACCACCATGCCACTTGCCGACTCCGCGATTTCATGATTTTCTTAGGCTATCGAGCCAGATCTTATTCCAATGCTTTTATATCCATTTTCAAGATCCCAGCTGTGGCTTAGAGTCTCCAAAATACAATGGAATATGGTCAGCATCACCTACCAATGATGTATATTCCAGCAAAAGACCTTACTCAACGAGAACTAGTCCAAGATTGAGAAATAGAATCAAGGAAGATCCTCTAATTCTTGGTGCCTATCAAAGCCATATGACTTTCAGTATCCTCGTAGTCTAAAAATAGGAGAAGGGGCCCAGCCTGGTGGCATTCGGGAGCAAACTGAACTACAGTGCTGGAAGCCCTGTGTTGGCTTGGACATACCAAGTGTGTGAGCACATGTATACCTAAGATCTTGCTGCAGGTCTGGGCATAGGGATCGCTGGGATAGGACCCTGGGAGCACCTTTCTCTCTGACTCTGGTGCACATATACCCATGCCTCTCTCATGAATAAAATGAATGAACTTAGGGACCAGCAGTTGGTGTAATGGCTATGTTGCTGGACTCCCAGGTAATCAACCACAGTTCAAGTCCTAGACCCGGTGGCTTAAACTCATGTGGGGCTCATGTGCGTGCGTGCCCAAGATTCCGAGAGGAGAATGGAGGAGAAGGGATTGTGGCGTGGCCATCCCCCCGGGGGTGATTTCTCACTTTCTATCTCTCTGTCTCTCTCTCTCTTCTTCATGTGGTCATTACGCATCTCCAGGAGCACAGGGGGCCTCAGTTGTTATATTACAAATAAAATAAATTGCTGGGACCAGCAGTTAGCGTAATGGCTATGTCACTGGACTCCCACGTAGTCAACCGTGGTTCAAGTCCCGGACCCGATGGCTTAAACTCACGCCAGGCACGTGTGCGTGCATGCCCAAGATCCTGAGAGGAGAATGGAGGAGAAGGGATTGCGGCGTGGCCATCCCCCCTGGGGGGTGATTTCTCGCTTTCTGTCTGTCTGTCTGGCGAGGGCACACGCCCTATAGCAAAAACCTCTCCAAAAAAAAGAAAAATAAATAAATAAATTGCTATGGTCCTTACTTATGGAAAGTCAATAGCATTCAATCAATACATAGCAAACTATTAGGTTGTTGGGAAAGTCATGATCTATTTTGCTATGTTTTTCTATGCAAAAATGTGTCATGATTTTCAGGACCGCCTAGTAGTCAGAGATAAATGAAGCCACACTAACTTGGACTGGCGATCCCACCATCCCAGTACCCTCGAGTCCGCGGGGTGGTTACGTCCACAGAGTGGTTATGTCCACGTCAGGTGTGTCTGCTCTGTCTCCCCTGCTAGAGGTGCCTTTGCTTCAGTTCCCCCCTGTGCTCTCAGAGCTGGGAGAAACTGCAGAGCCTTTATAAGCGGTTTCTGTTGTTGTCTTTCCCCATCGTGGACGTTGTAGAGAGTCTGATGAAAGGTATGGCCCCTCTGTAGTAAAACCAATGAGTGCCTATGAGCAAGACATTTTCATAGGAGTTTATGGAGTTCCTGGACCATTTAAACATATCCACAGGGAAGTTCTGATCCCAGTATGTGTCTCGTACAGATGAATAAATTGAGGGGTAGAGAGATGTTGTGATTTTCTTTTTTTTAAGTTTTATTTATTTTTAGTGTTATTTTTGCTATAGGGTGCATGCACTCGCTAGAGAGAGAGAGGGAGAGAAAAGAGAAGGAGAAAGTGAGAAATCACTCCCCTGGGTCGGGGGATGACCCCACCACAATCTCATTTCCTCTATTCTCCTCTCAGGATTTTGGGCACGCATGTGCTTATGCCTGGCGTGAGTTTTAAGCCATCAGGTTCAGAATGCAAACTGTGGTCAGTCATGTGGGAGTCCAGCGCCTTAACCACTATACCACCTGCTGGCCACATTATTATTCTTTCACTTGACCAGAGAGAGACAGAAGAGCATGCAAGCTGCCAGGTCTGTGACTCGAACTGCAGTCGACCCTGTGGGAGTCCAGCGCCTCAACCACCATGCCACTTGCCGACTCCGCGATTTCATGATTTTCTTAGGCTATCGAGCCAGATCTTATTCCAATGCTTTTATATCCATTTTCAAGATCCCAGCTGTGGCTTAGAGTCTCCAAAATACAATGGAATATGGTCAGCATCACCTACCAATGATGTATATTCCAGCAAAAGACCTTACTCAACGAGAACTAGTCCAAGATTGAGAAATAGAATCAAGGAAGATCCTCTAATTCTTGGTGCCTATCAAAGCCATATGACTTTCAGTATCCTCGTAGTCTAAAAATAGGAGAAGGGGCCCAGCCTGGTGGCATTCGGGAGCAAACTGAACTACAGTGCTGGAAGCCCTGTGTTGGCTTGGACATACCAAGTGTGTGAGCACATGTATACCTAAGATCTTGCTGCAGGTCTGGGCATAGGGATCGCTGGGATAGGACCCTGGGAGCACCTTTCTCTCTGACTCTGGTGCACATATACCCATGCCTCTCTCATGAATAAAATGAATGAACTTAGGGACCAGCAGTTGGTGTAATGGCTATGTTGCTGGACTCCCAGGTAATCAACCACAGTTCAAGTCCTAGACCCGGTGGCTTAAACTCATGTGGGGCTCATGTGCGTGCGTGCCCAAGATTCCGAGAGGAGAATGGAGGAGAAGGGATTGTGGCGTGGCCATCCCCCCGGGGGTGATTTCTCACTTTCTATCTCTCTGTCTCTCTCTCTCTCTGGCTGCCCTATAGCATAAACCTCTCCAAATAAATAAATAAATAAACAAACAAACTTTAAAAAAAGCACAGGTGAATCAGGGAGAAGAGAACATGCTTTGTGAGCATGTGCGGCTGCTTCTACCCCGTGGGGTTTGGGAACTCTAAGCTCTGCCCTGTCTGGGTCTTCAGTCCCATCACACAATCCTCTAACTTTCTCTGCCTCTGCTTAAGCGTTGGCACCTCTCCCCGCCTCTCCAGGTGTGCGTTCTCCCACCAGATTCTTGTCATTTCTCGTTGAATATCCATGGAGCATCTAGTGTCTGTGCAGATCAGGGTCCAGCATGAACGGCCCAGCCGGAGTCACTCTGATGGTGGGCCCTGCCAGCGAGTCTGCGGACAGGCTCCGCTTTGTGCGCCCAGTAGTGCTGGAGGGATCTGACTTTCCGCCTCCCTTCTCCGCTTGTTTTGAGTGGCTGTCGTCTGGCACAATTAATTTTCTCCTCTTCCTTGGCAGCATCTCCTCGGCAGCCAGCAGCATGCTTCCCTTCAGCTCTGGGTCTCCTTTGGCCGGAAGCCCATGCGAGCAGCCCAGTTTGTCACCAGGCATCCGATCAACGTGAGTGGGGCCTGCTGGAGGGTGGTCTGCTGTCCCCAGTTGGAGGGCAGGGGAAGGGTGTTGTGGCATGTCCTGCCAGGGTAGGTATTTTATGATGCTCTCTGAAATTCCTGCCCAGAGAGATCTCTCTGTAGAGAGCGCCATCATCTTGTTCTCTTATTCCCCATTTTCCTGTTTAAAGTGGAGCCGGGCTGAAGCTGTCATTGGCTTTAGGTGGAGCAGGACTGGCAGAGAGATTGGAGCTGGACTCGGTGGCCCGTGTGGCAGGACTGTGGCAAAGGCGAGTTAGTAGTACACAGCAGCAGTCATTTATTAAGCACCTGCTGTCTATTCTCAGGGTCCCAAAGGGGACACGATTTCGGCCCGACCTTTTAGGAACTGGCATGTCAGAGACCAAGAACTGAGGAGATGAAGGACCAAAGTGCTCGGCGTTTAGCCTATTGGTGGACAGGAGCCATTGGCATAGAGGGGGCCCCTCAGAGAAGTGACTGCAGGCTGGGGCCCTGTCGGAAGCCTTGACTTAGTTGGCTTGGTGGTAGGTGGAGCTCAGCAATACATGATGGAGTCTAGCCAGTTCTTCACTAGTTTCCTTTATCACCTTAGGGGAGATAAAAGTGAAATGCACTCTAAGCTATATTGTCCTTTGCGCTTATGAAAAGTCCTATGGGAACAAGAGGAGGCATTCCTTCCAGAGAGGTTTTTAGGGTCTTGATGGAGTTCAGTGGCCATTCTTAGTCTGTGCCCTGCTTGCCAGTCAGGGACCTGCCTGCCCCAGCTGCACACCAGTTGCCAGGGTCCAAAGGGAGGTCTTTGACGAGTTCGCTGCCACGGTTGGAGAGTCGTCTGTGGCGTTCAGTTGGTCACTGGAACATGTAGAAGTCATTTCTTTCGTGTATAGAGAAAAACCCCACAGGAACTATCTGTTTCTTGACGTATGGATTTTCTGCCTTTTGATGCCGAAGGAATATTACATCGCAGATGCGTCCGAGGACCAGGCGTTTGTGTGCGTCAGTCACAGCAACAACCGCACCAACTTGTACATCTCGGAGGCGGAGGGCCTGAGGTTCTCCCTGTCCTTGGAGAACGTGCTCTACTACAGCCCAGGAGGTGCTGGCAGTGACACCTTGGTGAGGTGAGTCTCTCCCTGGCCATCACCTTCTTTTGTTGGTAAAGGTTTTTGCCATAGGGCATGTGCACTCTCTGGAGAGAGAGAGAGAGACAGAGACAGAGAAAGAGGGAGTGAGAAATCATACCCCAGGGGGATGGCCACACTGCACTCCCTTCTCCTCCCCTCTCTGCTTGGGATTTTGAGCACTCATGCACACACATGCACCTGGTGTGAGTTTTAAGCCATTAGCCAGGTCTGGGTCTTGAACTATGGTTGGCCCCATGGGAATCCAGCGCCTTTACCACCATACCACCTGCTACCAGGTCTGGGTCTTGAACTATGGTCGGCCCCATGGGAATCCAGCGCCTTTACCATCATACCACCTGCTGCCCCACCCCCACCCCCCTCGGGCCTTCACAGGTCTGCATACCTGTAAGCCCTTCTCTAACTGAGTGGTTTCAATATTAGCTGCCTTTGTGGGCTCACCGGGGGAGCTTTCCGAAATCCTGATGCCTAGCTTGTAAGCCAAGAGGTCATGGTTGAATTGTTGGCAGTATGATCAGGTCTGAGGATTTGAAAAGCTCCCCAGGTAGTTCTTACAGGCAGCCAAGGCTGAGAACTGCTGCTCTAGGAGACGTTCAGGGTCACAGCCACCCTGGTAACCACTCCCTTGGGCTCCCTTCATTCAATTGTCTGGCTCTGGTTTCTGAGCCTATGAGAAAGAGCACTTGGGGAACAGCATCCAGTGAGGGGAGCTGGCAGAGGCACCCGTGGGCCCTGCTTCCGAGGACTCAGGCTAGTTGACGTCAATACTCTTTTTCTTAAAGGTAATTACAAGGTATCGTTTTTCTAGGGAAGGCACCAGAGTCATCCGGCCTTCACCCATAAGTCACATGCTTGGAGTGGTTTTGCAGTGTCCATGATGGGTGTTCTCAGAGCACCACACCCATCGAGGGCTAAGGAGGAGCCTGGGTACGGGAAGGATGAGTGCATTCCTAAGTCCCTTTCGGTGCCATAAATCCTGTTACTCTCACTGTTAACATGGCAGACTACACCTGTGCTGGGTGTGACCTGAATAAGATCACGCTCTGCCCTTCCAGAGAGTCTCCGGTGTGAAGGAGGGAGTACTCTGGGTGTGGCTTGCTCTGGGGCTCTGGCTAGCAAGTCAGAGGCCACGCCCCTTCTGTCCCTGTCCCTTCTGCTGGCTAGTCATTCTGTCGTCCATTCAACAAGCGTGCTGCTGTTCTGTGCCAGACGGTGGGCTAGATACCGCACTGAAAGTACGTCCGACGTTCCTCAGCTTACAATGGGCTCGTGTCTCCATCAACTCGTTTTCAGTTAAAATTGTCTTGGGTTGAAGAGCATTTGATACGGGTGTTATGAACGTTAGAGCTTAGCCTACCCTGCCTTATATGTGCTCAGAACGGGCCTGAACGGCTGCAGAACAGTGGCTGCCTGGTGAGTCGGGGAGGACAGGAGAGCAGAGCTGTGGAGGACCATCACGAGTTCGGAGTTGGACTTGCGAGGGTGGAGATACCTGTCAGAAATCCAGTACAGGGGCTGGCAGGTGGTGCGGTGGTTAAAGGCACTGCATTCTCACCCGGTCGACGGCAGTTTGAGTCCTGGACTTGGTGGCTTACTTTCAAGCTTTCCCTTTCTCTCGCTCTGGTCAAATTAAAAATAATAATAACAAATGGGATGAAATAAATAATGATTTTTTTTTAAAAAAGAAATCTAAGCACAGAACTTTCTGCCTGGTCCCTGATAATGCCTTTCTGTCTGCCTTCTTTAGAGGTGCTGTCGGCCTGGCCTCATGGACTGTTTATTACTTGGTGTGTTATAAACCATCCCTGCCATGATTCACTGTGTCGCTCAGGTCCTAGTTTGGTAGACGGAAGCTTTTAGCTCCTTTGGGCTGATTTCTGTGTCTTTCTTTTTTTTTTTTTCTTTTTTTTTTTTTTGAGGGATTTTTGCTATAGGGTACGTGCGCTCGCCAGAAAGACAGAGAGAGACAGAGAGACAGAAAGTGAGAAATCACCTCCCAGGGGGGATGGCCACACCGCAATCCCTTTTCCTCCATTCTCCTCTCAGGATCTTGGGCATGCATGCACATGCGCCCGGCGTGATTTTAAGCCATGGAGTCCAGGATGTGAACAGCAGTTGACTACTTGGGAGTTCAGAAACATAGCCATTACGCTAACTGCTGGTCCCTGATTTCTGTGTCTTTTTACAATAACTTATTTAGGTGAAATTTACATAACATAAACTGTCATTTAAAAGTGAATGATTTGGTGGCATTTAGTCCATTCACCAGTGTGTACAACTGGCCTCTCTGTCTAATTCGAAAGTGTTTTCTTTTCTCCAGAAGAGAACTCTATCATCATGAAGCAATTTCTCCCTCTCTCCCCTCCTCCAGCCTGGAATTCTGATTTCTGTCTCTGATTTACCTTTTCCAGATTTGTCATATTAATAGACTTGTCCAGGAATAGGTGACCTGTGTCTGACTTCTTTCACCTAGCATGTTTTTAAGGATCATCTTTGAGTAGCGTATGTCAGTATCACATTCATCTTTACAGGTGAATATTCTCTTTATCATCCGATTAACTCAAATCTTGAGTCATTGTCTTTCAGGCCTTTTATTGACTAATTTTTTTTTTTTCACTATTGAGAACCTCTGGCCATGGGGTGTGTATGTCATGGCTTACCAGGGATTTCCTTCGCTTCCTCAGTTGTCAGATATTTAGGATAAATATCTCATAATAGGGAGACCAGCAGTTGGCATAATGGCTAGGTTGCTGGACTCCCACTTAGTCGACTGTGGTTTGAGTCCCAGACCCGGTGGCTTAAACTCACGTTGAGTGTGTGTGCGTGCGTGCCTAAGATCCCGAGAGGAGAATGGAGGAGAAGGGATTGTGGCATGGCCATCTCCCCTGGGGGGGTTATTTCTCACTTTCTGTCTCTCACTGTCTTTCTGGTGAGCACATGCGTCCTATAGCAAAAACCTCTCCCCCCCCAAAAAATATATATCTCATGAGAGGCAGATTAAGAGCCAAAAGCCAAAGAGGGAGGCTACCCCGGAAGTCAGACCCTCACAGTGTGACCACGGGGCCACCTCACATGTACAGATGGCCCTTTAAGTAGTTATGGAGATTCCTCCCACCCTGCGAACCTATAGTCTAGATAAGAAATTGAAATAAGGGCCAGCAGGTGGCATAATGTTTACGGCATTGGACTCCCACACAGCCAGCCACAGTTCGTGTCCCAGATCTGGCAGCTGGAAAATCACACCAGGCTTATTTGTACCCTAAATCCCAAGAGATGGAGGAGATGAGATTGCACCATGGCCATCCACCCTGGGGGGTGATTTCTCAGTTTTCTTCTCATTGTCTTTCTCTCTCTCTCTAGTGAGCTCATGTACTCTATGGCAAAAACCTTAATAAAAAAGATAAAAGACATTAAAAAGATTAAAAATAGATTCACATTGGGATGGCCCTATGGCCTAGTTGTTGAGGGTACTGAATCCCACATGGCTGGTGGTACAGTTTGAATCTTGGCCTTGGTGGCTTGAAAACCCCATTGGGATGTGTGTACATGCCTGCCAAAAATGCGGTCCGCAGAGAGAAATGGAGGAGAGAGCACTGCAGTGACTATGCCTGCTGGGGAGTGCTCTCTCGCTCTCTCTCTCTGTCTCTGGTTTGCATACGTGCCCTCTGGCAAATTAAAAAAAAAAGTTTCATGTCGAGATTCAGACCGACATTGCACTCAGCCTGTCTATCGCAGGACTACTGAAGTGAGGTGGGCCCAGGTGAGAGAACTTTGCTCATCTGCATCTCCGTTGCAGACAGATGAAATAGAACAGAGTGATTTGGCAGGATTACATTACACTTCTGTGGGATTTGAAATGAGCTTTTCTTTGAAATGCATAGGAAAATGGGGGTACCCAGGAATGGGTTCTAATTTACTTAGAGAACTGGAGAAAGACCTTTAATGGGGGATGACCCTGGCATTGGCGGGAGGTGCTGTGCAGGGATCGTGTAGCGGCAGTAACTAGACACGGGATGGTTCAGAGGAACTAATGTGCTGATACCGTGTCGGGCCTGTGGGGAGACCTTCAGGAGGAGCACATGCTAGATGGGCAGCGATGGCTGCCAGGGCTGGAGGGGGCCTGCAGGGGCTGGAGGGGCCTGGCTGAACTGCCTGCCAAGTCTTAGCCCAAGGCATTCTGGGAAGAAGGGGAGAAGCACTCTCGTGAGGCCCAGTGAGGATCAAATAGAAGCAGATGGACTTGGAGAGAGTAGTTAGGTGAGGCAGATTGTTGCCGGGCAGGTCAAGGGGAGGAATGGAAGGATGGGTGGGACCCAGGCAGAGGAGTGAGTGAGGTGCAAGAAGCCAGGCTTCTGCTTGGGAGTGAAGGATAAGCTCCAGGAATATGAGCAGGGGGAAGAAATAGGGCTTGCTTAAATATATAACAGACTCAGACCTCCCAGGTAAGCAAACAAACAAACAAAAACAATAAATCATAGAATGGCAGCTTTCATGATACTAGATCAAAAGAAGTAGAGTCAGGAGGGTGATGGGCCTTCAGCCGACTCCTGGGAAAGTGCCTGAAAATCTGGTCTCGACTCTGGCTCCGCATGTAAGATTCTGCCACCTCTCAGTCTGAGGCCGCTTTGTCCACACTCCTTATTTTCCTTGTCCTGCCATGCCTGAGGTTGTCATGCGTTTTTGTCTAAGTTGGTATAGCATCAGGCAGAAGAGATTTACAGGGCAGGTGATGGAAAAAACCAGCTCTGCACTCGATTGCGTGGCCCAGTGGCCCCTGAAATCAAGGGCACACCTCCAATCTTAAAAGCTGTGTGTAAACTCCGGTTACCATTCCTCAGAGATCTGCTTGATCTGTAGAGCATGCACCCTTTCAGTGCACATCTACTGTCCAGTGAAAGCCCAGTAGCTTAGCATAGTAGTCAAAGGCTGGAGGCCTTGATTCTCTGCTCCACTGCTGACAAGTATAACCTCAAGCTTTCTAGAACCATCCTCCTTGTATGTACTGTTTCTTTGTTCTTTTTTTATTTGGGGGGTGTGCACACACACTCGACATCCGGTATGATTTTCGAGCCTCCAGGCCTGGAAGTTTGGCTATGTGGGAGTCCAGTGCGTTAACCACCATGCTACCTGCTGGTGCCACATCCTGTTTCTTTGGGAAAGAAATGCCAGATTCTTTTGGGCTCCCCGACAGAAAACGCTGTGTGTGTCTGCCTGATCAGTGTTGCGTAATGAGTGTGAGTACTGGATGGTGGCTGTGTAACCTCTTCCTCTGTTCCCGCAGACTGGGGTTAAATGTTAAGCCTCAGTGTTGTTATTAAAGTCTCACAGTCTGGCTTCATGTTCACTGTTGAGCAAGGCTTGTTGGGAGATTTGGGGTCCGTTTTGACAGTGAATTTGATTTTGTGTCAATTTCGGCATGTTATATTTATAATCCTAAACCCCCTGGTAGGAGTTGTTCATCAGATAAACATTTTGGCCCCAAAAGTTAAAAAATAAAATAAAATTACTTTTTAAAAAAGAACAGGTTTGGCCAGCAGGTGGCCTGGCACTAGACTCCCACATGGCTGACGATGGTCTGAGTCCTAGACCTGGTGGTTTGATTTCTCACTTTCTCTCTCTCTCTCTCTCTCTCTCTCTGGTGAGTGTGTATTGCTTATAGCAAATTAAAAAACAATAATAATAGTAAATAAAATAATTCTAAAAGAGATATAAAGAACAGGTTATTTAGCCATAAAAAAGAATGAAGTGCTGCTACCCACTTACACGTGGATGCACTTTGAAAGCACCGTGCTGAGTGAAAGTAACCAGATGTAAAAAGGCCGCAAACTTCACGACACCATTTATGTGAACTATGCAGACCAGACACACCCATAGAGACGGAAAGCAGATCGGGGTTGCCTGGGCTCAGGGAGGGGGACCAGACATGGAGAGTGACTACCCAAGGGCCCAGGGTGACCTTGAGGAGGGATGACGGTGCCCTGGCACTGACAGGATGGTGGTTGCCCACCACTGTGAACATCCTCGATGCCGCTGAGTTGTATACTTTACACGGTTAAATGTTGTGTTATTCACAATACAAGCCGGTACTGTGTCCAGTACCATACCACGCAAGTACTGCTTCGGGGTCACAGTTGTGTGTTTTCTCTTACTGTAGGTATTTTGCAAATGAACCATTTGCTGACTTTCACAGAGTGGAAGGGTTACAAGGCGTCTACATTGCTACCCTGATTAACGGTTCTATGAATGAGGAAAACATGAGATCCGTCATCACCTTTGACAAAGGGGGAACCTGGGAATTCCTTCAGGCTCCAGCCTTCACGGGATATGGAGAGAAAATCAACTGTGAGGTATAGATGCGTTCATCTTACTCGGGTTTTTAATACGGATCTGTGTGGTTTCGTACATCTAATAGTCCCTGGAAACATACACCGTCTCGTAGCACTCCATTAATGTCAGATGGAACAGCCTTTTATCTGGATTGCTGCCCTTGTAGTTCCCAAACTGTGCGCCGAGGTACCCTGGGGTGCCATGCACGTTTATGGGCATCATGGACTGTTTTCAGTTTCTGAGAGAAACACCGTGGTACTTAACATTTGTTAGACACCAATGAATGGGTCACTGGAAAATTCATGTGGAATGTTTGCATGTTCCTAAGCAAAACTGTGTCATGACTTTTCTGACACAGCCACAGATGAACTTAGTTCCCAGTTTCAACGTTCGATCATGCTATCTTTCTTTTGATGAGGTTGTGTCGGTAGGAAGTGATTTTCAGCAGTTCATGTAATGGAAAACAAGTGAGAAAATCAGGGTAGAACCAGAAATGAGGGCAGTCGTAACTGATCTATTTCCAATGAAAAGTCGTGTAATGCCTAGAAGGTACACACAGTGCGTTAGTTAGGTAAGTAGGTCACTTAACAATGAACTAGAAACGGGTTTTCTTCCCATTGCCACTTACTGTTATTTCACACTGCATCTGAGTCATGAGGACACACGTGCTTTACTAAGCTGTTTGGACTTAACTATGTGAAAAACACATTTCGATATTTTTTTCTCGCCCAAGGCTGCTATAAAAAACTTATTGCAATATCAATTGTACTTCAGACCTAGAATGTTTGGGGACCCCTGACACCTGCTATTATTTCTGGAGAACTATTTCTTAAATTCCCCTCTGAATGTAATTCAGGAGTCTACAGTGTTGCCTGCCCGTGGCCCCATCTGAAAAGTTGGGAATACTGAAGTATATTATTTGGTTCCATGAAGTGCTCCCACAGGCCTGCAAGCTCCTCTCCTGTCCCTCAGGAGACAGTTATGGATGTGGCCCCTGGACTTGGGTGACACTCCACACCTAGATTCCATATTCCCCTAAGGGGAAAGGAAGTAGCAGAAGGCACTGACTCAGGACCTGTCACATTTTTATTAGACAGTGTTTTTTAGTTTAGTTTTTTTGGAAGACTTTTGCCATAGGTTCGTAGGCTCACAGGAGAGAGGCAGTGAGAGCGAAAGTGATAGCGGGTGGGGGGGATGGCCACCGTTATCCCTTCTCCTCCATTCTTCTCCTGGGATTTTGGGCTCTCGCGCACACCTGCCCAGTGTGATTTTCAAGCCACCAGGTCTAGGGCTTGAAGTGCGGTTAGCCATGTGAGAGTCCAGCACTTGAACTACTACACCACCTGCTGGCCCCAACAGTGGTCTTTCTATTTTTGAATTTCATTTGTGCATACTAAGCTATGTTGCCTCTTCTGCGTGTTGCATCTGCGGCTGTGGGAAATTATTTTAGAGACGCTTGCCTGAGTATATACGTCCTGATCTTTCTTTCCTATTTGGCAGCAAGGCTCGATTTACCATATCAGCTCTAATTTTGGTAAGAGGCAAATACTTAGGAGCTTCCCCTTCTCACCAGTGTCTTTGGACCTCTGCAGTTTGGGCTGATCCCTGCATGGGTGGGGCCTGGGCATTTTTGAGTGTGCTTAAATGGAGAGTAGAGAGCGAGCCTTTGTTAAATAGAATTAGTGGTAGGGTCAGCTCTGTGGCCTGGAGCTTGAGACAGTCAGACCCCGTGTGGCCAGCTGCCTGGTTCAAGTCCTAGACTTGAGAAACACACCAGGTGTGTGTATGTGCATGTCCAAAATCCTTAGGGCAGGAGAGATAGAAGGGAAGAGATTGCAGCATGACCATTTCTCATGGGTGGTCCTTTCTCCTCTCCCTCTTTCTTTGTCTCTGTCTTTGGAAAGCACACATACCCTCTAACATGCGTGTGCATGCACGCACATAAACACACAGAATATAATATAATGGTATTGTTAAAAATATTCACCTTTTGACTTTTTCTGACTGATCAGCTTATTTATGAACTGTAGGACAGTTAATCAGCACTTAGTTTCTGCTTCTGACCTTAGATCCTGGAAAGAATGTATATAAATGGTTAAATCTGGTTACCAGAAGATACAGAACTCTTACATGAATAGACTTCCTTGTAGGAAAAGAAATGTGAGTCAGAACAGGGGAGGGGACAAATAAGTATTTATTTGGGACCCCACTTAATTTGCTTCAATGTCCAGTGGCTTAGACTAGGAAGCCAGCCAGATGAAAACCTGTTAGAGATCCTTTGGTGACAAAAGGAAGTAGATCCAGCCTTATTGTGGTTTTTACTTGACCATAAGCACACACAGTTCAGCATGTCACGTGCATCTGAAGAACACTGAGCAGTTACTTTCTGGCCAGGAGAATCAGGCATGACCATACAGCACAGGCCTCCACCTGATGTTTGCAGAAGAACTATTAAAATTTGAACGCAAGTGAAGAGGCTAGGCTGAATAATTTAAAGCCTTGCCCTGAATACCCACACCTTTGTACAAATGTTGAATATTTTTAAAAAGTTGAATGTCAATCTTTGAGGTTTTCTATCTCATCTGTTGTATATCTGGGCGCTCATCACGAGACTTGATGACTTCTGATTCTCGGTTTTTCTTTTGATAGAATTGCTGGGAGCATATTTGACACACATAGCCACTGACTTAGAAAGTAAATATCCTGACATGATTTCATTTCTCTTTAGCTCTGAGTCCCCCTAAGAGGATCTCTGAGTGATGTGGTGAGATGGGATCTTTCCATCCACTTGAGTTGACACTGACTTCTAATTATGTTCTCTGAGAGTCTCAGAGGGAGTTTTTAAGTTGTTGTTTTTCTCTTTTCTTCCGTAAGAGACATTTATGTTGGTTCAGATGATCCTCTCTATCTGGGGGACTGTGGAGACAGTGGGCTGTGATTCTGGTTCCCTCTGAGCTAGGCCTCCTTGCCTAGGGCCTCTGTGTCTCGCTGTGGTGTCCACACGCAGGCCTCCGGCTTTGCTGGGAGATCTAGGTCTGATTACTTCTGTCCTGTAGCTTTCCCAGGGCTGTTCACTCCACCTGGCCCAGCGCCTTAGTCAACTCCTCAACCTCCAGCTCAGGAGAATGCCCATCCTCTCCAAGGAGTCGGCTCCCGGCCTCATCATCGCCACGGGTGAGTGTGCGTGCCTGGCCTCCAGGGACCTGCTGTCGGGTTGGTGCGGCCGAGGAGAGTGACGCTCGGCCTCTCAGCAGTAGCTGCTCTTCCTGTTTCAAAACATTCTCAGTCACTAGGTACTGCTCAGGAGTTCTGGCTAGGCAAGGTGATTGTGTGACCTATTCTCCAGATGAAAAATAATGACTCCTCTTGCCTTTTAGGCTCGGTGGGAAAGAACTTGGCCAGCAAGACCAACGTGTACATTTCTAGCAGCGCTGGAGCCAGGTGGCGAGAGGTCAGCTCATTCTGTACTCCCTAGGTTCTTGCGTGTGTGTGAGAACGTGTGCTTTGCCGGGACATTTCAGGGACAGGTTTGGCCCCATGGTGGAGGCCAGCAATGCCAAACATGACTGTGAAGTAAAGACAGGTACCCAGAGCTGCCAGCGAGTCAGCCACACTGGTCTATGTTCATACCTTATAAAATGATGCACGATCTTGCCAAAAAAAGTCACTTTAAATGAAAAACAGACTGGGGCCAGCAGGTGGCACAGTGGTTAATCTGCTGGACTTCCTTATGACTGACTGTGGTTCAAGTCCTGGACCCAGCACTCAAGCTAGTTATGCGTGCATGCATGCCCCAAATCCCAGGAGGACAAGGGATTGACATGTGGCCATCAACCTTGGGGGGTGATTACTCATTTTTTCATTCTCTCTCTCTCCAGGAAGCACATCGGCCCTATGGCAAAAACCTAAAAAATAAATAAATAAATAAAAGACTTATTTTGAGAAACTATGAATTTTACTAAAATTTCCAAGTTTATAATTCTATGAGGACACAGACAATGTCTGTTTTGCTTGTCTCTGTAATCCTAGGACCTCACAGGGCCAGGCTTAGAATGGGTGCTCAGTATTTCAGTGTGTCAGCATATTATGGTTTGTCAGATACGAAAGTAAAAAGGTGAATCAGGTCCAAAGCTGTTTTTTATTTTTTTGGAGAGGTTTTTCTATAGGGTGCATACGCTCACCAGAAAGACAGAAACTGAGAGACAGAAAGCGAGAAATCACCTCCCAGGGGGGATGGCCACACCGCAATCCCTTCTCCATTCTCCTCTCAGGATCTTGGACACGTACACACACGCACCCGATGTGAGTTTAAGCCAGACTGTCCCAGATTCAAACTGCGATCCACTACATGGGAGTCCAGCAACATAGCCATTACGCTAACTGCTGGTCCCCAAAGCTGGTTAAGTTTTTAAAAAACTTTTAATATTTTTGCACTGTGATTGGAGACTTTACCCACTGGGCAACGCTATATACTTTCCATCTAGGAACTGGACATTCCATAGTGCAGGCCCAGGCTTGGTGTTTACCTTAAATTGTCTGATTTGGAACCTCTGGTGCAGATTATATCGATTTTGAAGTGGAGCTCCATTTCTAGTCCTGGAATGTTAATTCAGTGTCAGCTTCGGACGTTAGAGAATTCCCAGAATCGTAAGACAATGTTTTCACCACTCTTCATGACATAATAAGACCAAGAGAGATGGATCTGGGCTCATTTCCGTGGTGGCTCTGTATGTGTCAGGAGCTGCCAGCGTAAGACACAACAGATCACTACTTGGCAATTTTTTGAGCTTCGCCTGCAGGCTGAGCACCAGTAAGGAGTGACGTGGAGTTCTTAGGAGAGCTAGCTAACTTAGTTCCCATCCTCGTGACATGTTTTTTTTTGAGAATGAAATATACAGAAATATACGCCCTTTTATATTTAAATATGCAGTATATAAGGCAGTTATTGTAATACCCAATGATCACATGGCTCTTTGCGGTTTAGAGACTTGTCACATACCTGATCTCATTAGTAGGACTAACTGTCCTTCCAGCTGAGAGATATAAGGCTCTGTGTGTGTGTGTGTGTGTGTGTGTGTGTGTGTGTGTGTGTGTGTAAATTCAGAGCTATGTAATATGGTAGAGTAATCACATATTCAGACAAAGGAGGTTGTTAGGGTCAGAGTCGTTAGAGTGTGGACGAGTTGGAACTGAAATTTCGGGTCATCTGTGTCCCGTTCCCAGGGGAAAGAGTTGGCAGCTGGTTTCTGCTTGCTGGAGACGGACATTCCTTTAGGAATGGGAGCACTCTCCTCTGGGCTGCTCTGTGGTTCGTTTGTCCTTTCTGCTATTGGTGTCGTCTGGGACTGAAACATCTGCAAGTGATTGCCTTCTGGGTAGAGAAAGTGGGTTCTGGTTCCTCCTCCAGTGAAATGGTGGCTGTTGCTGGGGCCACTGTCAGTGCCCCTCTCCAGGCACCAGAATCCCAAGAGAATGGAGGAGAAGAGATTATGGCATGACCATTCCCACTGGGGTGAGGGGTGATTTTTTACTTTACCCTTCTCTCTGTCTTTTGTCAGTGAGCACACATGCCCTATAGCAAGAAAAGAGAAAAGCAAACCTGGGACCAGTAGTTATGTCGCTGGACTCCGTAGTCGACTGTGGTTTGAGTCCCAGACCCAGCAGCTGGAAGCTCATGCCGGGCATGTGTGTGTGTGTGCAAAATCCCAAGAAGAGAGTGGAGAAGAACGGATTGCAGTGTGGCCATCCCTTTTGGGGGGTGATTTGTAGCTTTCTGTCTCTCTGGCAAGTGTACACTCTCTATAACAAAAATATTTGAGAGGTTTTCCCTATAGGGCGCATGCGCTCGCCAGACAGAGACAGAAAGCAAGAAATCACCCCCCAGGGGGGATGGCCACGCTGCAATTCCTTCTCCTCCATTCTCCTCTCAGGACCTCGGGCACACACGCACACGCACCCGGCGTGAGTTTTAAGCCACCAGTTCTGGGATGCGAACCGCGGTCGACTACGTGGGAGTTCAGCGACATAGCCATTACACTAACTGCTGATCCCACAAAAATCTTTCTAAAAGCAAACAAACACCTATATCTTTATCTCTCTCTCACATTGTATGTGTGATACCCACCAGGGGTATGGCCACACTGCAACCCATTTTCCTCTCAGGATTTTGGGCATTCACACATTCTCAGTGTGAGTTCCAAGTTACCAGGTCTGGTACTCAAACCACGGTAGGCCATCTGGAAGTCCAGCACCTCAACCTTCATGCCCCTCGCTGGCCCTTGCCATATATTTTGAGCCTGTTATTAAGTGTACTTGTATTTAGAATGATCTTTTTTGATGCATTGTCTCTTACATCATTATGAAATATCCCTTTTTTAGAGCTTTTGTTCTAAAGAGTATTTTATCTGATACGAAATAGTCACTCCAGCCATCTTAGGTTTACTTTTTGGATGGGACCTCTTTTACTGTTTATCTACTTACATTAGGTTATCTGGAAAGTCATATTTTTTTTCTATGTTTTTCTATGCAAAAATGCATCAGGACTTTCCTGACAACCTAATATTTACAGTATTTCTTAGAGCAATATGGATAGTACCTGACTTTTTAAATTTATATTGCCAACTTATGCTTTTTAACTGAAATATTTAGCCCATTAATATCTAATATAATTATTGATATGGTTGGACTTAGATATAATATTTTATTATTTTTTCTTTTATCCTATCTGATTTTTATTCCTCTGTTCCTTCCTGTCTTATTTTATATTATTTAGATATTTTTAGTATTTTATTTTTATTTAAATATTATACTTTTCATTTTATATATATATTTTTTTAAGAAGTATTTTATCTAACTTTATTTGTTTATTTATTTATTTATTAGTTTTAATTTGACCAGAGAGGGAGAAAGTGAGAGAGAGAGAGAGAGAAAGCGAGAAAGCAAGTCTCCAGATAATATATGGATTACAACATACATGGCTAGGTTTTCAGTCTTTGAATTGATACATCATTTAACATAAATTTAGAAACATTGCAACCATGTAAGTTCTTTTTCTCTTCCCACCTTTGTGTTATTGTCATGCATCACATTGATATACATTGAAAAACCTACAAGGTTTTATATATATTACTTATTTATTTATTTTTTTGAGAGGTTTTTGCTCTTGCCAGAAAGATAGAGAGACAGAGAGCCAGAAAGCGAGAAATCATCCCCCCAGGGGGGATGGCCATGCCACAATCCCTTCTCCTCCATTCTCCTCTCAGGATCTTGAGCACACATGCGCATGCACCTGGCATGACTTTAAGCCACTGGGTCCAGGACTTGAACCATGATTGACTACGTGGGAGTCTAGCAACTTAGCCACTATGCCATCTGCTGGTCCCAATTATATTTGTTTTTGCTTTAAATCATCATAGAAATTTTAAAGAACTTCAGAAGGAAAAGCAGAATTGAGTATTTAGCCAGATATTTATAATTGTTCTTGCTCTCCCTTTTCTTTTCTTTTTTCTTTTCTCTCTCTTTTTTTTTTTTTAAGAGAGATTTTCACTGTAGGGCTTGTAGACTTGTCAGATAGACACACAGAGATAGACTGAAAGCGAGAAATCACACCCCATGGAGGATGGCCACACTGCAATACCTTCTCCTTCATTCTCCTTGGGATTTGGGGCACACATGCACACGGCCTGGCATGAGTTTCAAGTCACTGGGTCTAGGACTTGAACTGTGGTCGATAATGTGGGAGTCCAGCAATGTAACCCTTATGCCATCTGCTGATTCCCTTGTTCTCCATTCTTAAAGCCTTTTTATTTTTTTTTTTTTATAACCCCTGGGAAATTTCCATACAGCTTGAAGACATTTCTTTAGCATTTCTTTTAGACTTGGATTATTGGCTGTGAATCTCTCAGTTTTTCCTTTACTTGAGAATACCTTTATTTTACTTTCATTCTTAGAGGATATGCTTGTTGGGTATAGAATTCTAGGTTGACAGAGATCTTCTTTCAGCATACTAAAGATGTCCTACCTCCTGATTTGGGTTGTGATGGGTTCAGGTTCAAAAAAATCCTCTGGGTGTAACATTCCTTTTTCCTCTAGATGTTTTCAATAATTTTTTTTTTCTCTTTTGTTTTTATGGTTTTGTTATGATGTATTTTGGAAGGGTCTCCTTTGAGTTTACCCTATTTTGGGATACTGATCTTAACTCTATGGCATTATGTCTTTCATCAAATTTGGGAAATTTTCAGCCATTATTTCTTCAAATACTTTATATCTGCTGCAGTCCCTTTCTTCTGTTTTTCTTAGACTCTAATTACATACATTAGATTTTTCATTATTGTCCCACCGGTCCTTTGTGCCCTTTTTTAGAATCTGTTTATTTTTCCCCCATATATGTTCTTTAGAATAGATTTCTACTTATCTATATCTGTCTTTATGTTCATTGATTTCTCTGTCATTTTTATTCTGACGTTGAAGTGATTTTACTTCTAATTTTACTTTATTCCATGAAAAAAATTCTGTTTATCTGTCTATGTACATATGTGTGTGTAGTTTTCATTCTCTGGAGAGAACTCTTATCTTCTGTTCATTTCATACATGAACATTACCCCATGAAACATGGTCATAACAACTACACACACACACACACACACACACACACACACACACTTTTTTTTTTTTTAATTGGTTTTTGCTATAGGATGCTTGTGCTCTCTGGAGGGCTATACAGAGAGACAGAGAAAGTGGGAAAGTGAGAACTCACCCCCTAGGGGGGATGACCATGCCACAGTCTCTTTTCCTCCAGTCTGCTCTCGGGATTTTGGGCACGTATACACATGCACTTGGCATATTTTTCCAAGCCACCAGATCCAGGACTCAAACAGTGCACTTGCCCATGTGAGATCCAGCTTCCAGCTACCCCAACCACCAGACCACCTGGCTGACCCTGGAACAGCTATTTTAAAACTCTACTATATGGGACCAGCAGTTAGCATAATGGCTATGTTGCTGAACTCCCGTGTAGTTGACTGCGGTTCGAGTCCCGGATCCAGTGACTTAAACTCACGCCGAGTGCGTGTGTGTGCGTGCCCAAGATCCTGAGGGGAGAACGGAGGAGAAGGTATTGCAGCGTGGCCATCCTCCCCGGGGGGTGATTTCTCACTTTCTATCTCTCTGTCTCTTTCTGGCGAGCGCATGTGCCCTATAGCAAAAACCTCTTAAAAAAAAAACCAAAAAACTCTACTGTATGTGTCATCTTGGCATTACCTGTTGATTGTCTTTTCCCCTGAGAATTGGACATACTTTACAGACACATTTATTTGTATTTGGGGTCGTTTTGGTTTGTATTCTGGGCATGTGAATGAAACGCATGAGATCTGGTCTTCCGGAAGATTCCGCTGTTTCAGTGGCAGTCAGCCTGGGTAGGTCCTTATGGAAGTTCTCTCATGCTGTGTGTGTACGGTAGCTCAGGTCTCAGTGAGGTCTGCTGAGCCTTGCTATGCTGGGTTGGGTCTTCTCACATATGTTGTATGGCAGTGAGGCTGAGCTTTAATTAAATTCCTATCAGAATTAGAGATTTTACTTTTCTGACATCTCCCTTCTGGGATCCTTTCCATCCCCTCCCCAGCCTTGACCTGCCTCCTTTGACAGAAGTGGTTTATGTGGATGTTTTAGCTCTGGCTGGGACTGAGGCACCCCGTGACAGGGCTGTCCCTGAGGAGCAGTGTACCAGGAGCCCTAGCTGTGTGGGAGGCTCTTCTAGGTCCTTTCCACAGGCTGCCTGCTGTGTTTGCTGCTCGATGTCCTCTGGCAGTTATTTCTGCATTTTGGCCAGCGTTTGTAGCTGTGTAAAGGGCTCCAGGGGCTTACATGGTCCTAGTGGAACTGGAACTCCAGTGCATTAATTTTTAACCATCAGTTGACGAGAGTTAGACATTTGGGTTTGCGTTCTACCTCTGGCATTTACAGTCTGCCTTTTTTTTTTTTTTAAGGAGAATTATTTATTTAATTTTATTTATCGTTTTCTTTTTCTTTTTTCCTTTCTTTTCTTTTTTTTTGCTTTAGTGCGCATGCACTGTACAGAGAAACAGAAAGTGAGAAATCACCCCCGAGGGGGGATGGCCATGCCACAATCACTTCTCCATTCTCCTGTCAGGATTTTGGGCATGCACGCACATGTGCCCAGCATGAGTTTCAAGCTCTAAGTCTGGGACTTGAACCGTGGTCCACCACATGGGAGTCCAGGGTCTTAACCACTATGCCACATGCTGGCCCTCATAATTATGTTTAAATTTGCTATAGGCCACACACACTCAACAGAGAGAGAGAGGGAGAAAGCAAGTTGCTAGGCCCAGGATTCAAACCACACTTTCCCATGTGGGAGTCCAGTGCCTTCGCCACCACACCACAGTCTGCCATTTTAATATCAAGCCCTTCTTTGTTCATTTGGGAAAATATTGGGAGATGAGAACTCGGTTTGCTTATTCTCAGGATTTTGTGGAGCAAAATGAGAGAATGGGTATGAATGTTTTTTCCTTCTTTTTTTGGGGGAAAGGTTTTTGCTATAGGGCACGTGTGCATACCAGAGAGAGACAGAGAGAGACAGAAAGTGAGAAATCACCCCCCTCCCCCCCCAGAGAAAATGGTCATACTGCAGTCCCTTCTCCATTCTCCTCTTAGGATCTCAGGCACGCACACACATGTGCCTGTTGTGAGTTTTAAGCTGCCATGTCCACGACTCTAACCATGGTTGACTATATGAGAGTCAAGCGACACATAGCCATTGCGCCATCTGCTGGTCCTGGGTGTGAGTGTTTTCTGTGAACTGAAGGTTGTATACACATGGTTGACATTGTTGTCGTGTGTGTACATGTACACATGCCTCTGTGTGCGTGTGCGTGTGTACAGGGTTTCTGCGTCACCCTCACAGCAGTGGGCTGACCACTGGCTCTTCCTCCCCAGGCCCTTCCTGGACCTCACTACTACACGTGGGGGGACCACGGCGGCATCATCATGGCCATCGCCCAGGGCATGGAGACCAATGAGCTGAAGTAAGTACCTCCCACGAAGCCTTTTCCCGCAGCCTCAGATGGTCCTGCATCTGCGGTCCAAAGTGACTCCTCTCTCTACAGCACGAGGTTGTTGACGGCACCATTTGTGACCTGCAGAAATTACTTCCACTTGCCTTAGCTAAAACGTGAGGAGACTCACCTGCCTTTTCTCCCTCGGAGGGATTTCATGAGGAATGAATGAAATCACCTAGGTATTGGGAAAAGTGCAAACTTGTGTAGGTAGAACGATTTTATAATGGCTAAAAAATGAACTAGGCTCGGGAACCAGCAGTTAGCGTAATGGCTATGTCGCTGGACTCCCACGTAGTCGACCGCGGTTCGTGTCCCGGACCCGGTGGCTTAAAACTCATGCCGGGCGCGTGTGCATGCGTGCCCAAGATCCCGAGAGGAGAATGGAGGAGAAGGGATTGCAGCGTGACCATCCCTCCTGGGGGGTGATTTCTCGCTTTCTGTCTCTATGTCTCTCTCTGTCTGTCTGGCGAGCGCACGCGCTCTACAGTGAAAATCTCTGCCCCCCCCAAAAAACAAAGAACTAGGCTCTAATTTAGCTTTGCTTTGCATATGTATGACCAGAGCTTCCCTCATAGAATATTAAATAGCAGTAACACAGAGTTACGGGATTATAGAATTGAGAGCCAGTTGGCTTCTGCTGTCCCACATTTGGTTTAGGGGTGCTCGAGGATAGAGCAAGGAGGGCTGTTTGGCGTTGACTGCTTCATCCTATAGATGAGGAAACTGAGGCCCAGCAAGGTGAAGTCCCTGCTCACGGTCTTCCCATTCATTAGTGATAGGGGCTGGGCTAGCCCTTGGGGCTTTAGATCCTTTGTAATATATTGCTCTGAAAAGCAAAAGTGCTGGCCCAGCAGGTGGTGCGGTGGTTAAGGCATGGGACCCCACATGGCTGACTCCGTGGTTTGAGTCCTGGACCCAGCAGAAAACATGCCAGGTGTGTGTGTGTGTGTGTGTGTGTGTGTGTGTATGTGTGTGTGTGCCCAAAACCCTGAAAGGAGAATGAAGGTGAGGGGATTGCGGTGTGGACATCCTCCCTGGGACCTGAGTTCTCTCTTTTTTTTCTCCTTTGCACTCTCTCTCCAGTGAGTGCTCATGCCCTGTGGCAAAAATCTATCTATCTATCTATATATAAAAATGTCGGGTTTGTAACCTCCACCCTTTTGAGTCCTGATTTATCAGAACAGTCCTTTGATTCCTTTTGTCCCCGCTACTGAATGGTTAGTGAGTCGGGGCAGCCTGGCCCTCACGTCTCCTGGGTTTGAGCTGAACCCATTAGACGCATTACCGAAGGAGGCGGAGAGGGATCCGTGACTGTCTTGTTTAATGTGCGGCAGAAAGCTTTCTTTCGGCGGCATCATCATGGCCATCGCCCAGGGCATGGAGACCAATGAGCTGCAGTAAGTACCTCCCACGAAGCCTTTTCCCGCAGCCTCAGATGGTCCTGCCTCTGCGGTCCAAAGTGACTCCTCTCTCTACAGCACGAGGTTGTTGACGGCACCATTTGTGACCTGCAGAAATTACTTCCACTTGCCTTAGCTAAAACGTGAGGAGACTCACCTGCCTTTTCTCCCTCGGAGGGATTTCATGAGGAATGAATGAAATCACCTAGGTATTGGGAAAAGTGCAAACTTGTGTAGGTAGAACGATTTTATAATGGCTAAAAAATGAACTAGGCTCGGGAACCAGCAGTTAGCGTAATGGCTATGTCGCTGGACTCCCACGTAGTCGACCGCGGTTCGTGTCCCGGACCCGGTGGCTTAAAACTCATGCCGGGCGCGTGTGCATGCGTGCCCAAGATCCCGAGAGGAGAATGGAGGAGAAGGGATTGCAGCGTGACCATCCCTCCTGGGGGGTGATTTCTCGCTTTCTGTCTCTATGTCTCTCTCTGTCTGTCTGGCGAGCGCACGCGCTCTACAGTGAAAATCTCTGCCCCCCCCAAAAAACAAAGAACTAGGCTCTAATTTAGCTTTGCTTTGCATATGTATGACCAGAGCTTCCCTCATAGAATATTAAATAGCAGTAACACAGAGTTACGGGATTATAGAATTGAGAGCCAGTTGGCTTCTGCTGTCCCACATTTGGTTTAGGGGTGCTCGAGGATAGAGCAAGGAGGGCTGTTTGGCGTTGACTGCTTCATCCTATAGATGAGGAAACTGAGGCCCAGCAAGGTGAAGTCCCTGCTCACGGTCTTCCCATTCATTAGTGATAGGGGCTGGGCTAGCCCTTGGGGCTTTAGATCCTTTGTAATATATTGCTCTGAAAAGCAAAAGTGCTGGCCCAGCAGGTGGTGCGGTGGTTAAGGCATGGGACCCCACATGGCTGACTCCGTGGTTTGAGTCCTGGACCCAGCAGAAAACATGCCAGGTGTGTGTGTGTGTGTGTGTGTGTGTGTGTATGTGTGTGTGTGCCCAAAACCCTGAAGGGAGAATGAAGGTGAGGGGATTGCGGTGTGGACATCCTCCCTGGGACCTGAGTTCTCTCTTTTTTTTCTCCTTTGCACTCTCTCTCCAGTGAGTGCTCATGCCCTGTGGCAAAAATCTATCTATCTATCTATATATAAAAATGTCGGGTTTGTAACCTCCACCCTTTTGAGTCCTGATTTATCAGAACAGTCCTTTGATTCCTTTTGTCCCCGCTACTGAATGGTTAGTGAGTCGGGGCAGCCTGGCCCTCACGTCTCCTGGGTTTGAGCTGAACCCATTAGACGCATTACCGAAGGAGGCGGAGAGGGATCCGTGACTGTCTTGTTTAATGTGCGGCAGAAAGCTTTCTTTTCCTTCGCTCCTTTTAGAACAGGGCCAACAGCAAGAGAGAGGTGGGTGGTTTGAAAAAGATCTTAGCAGCTGGCTTTCGCCTGCGGTTAATTTGACATGTGATGGGCAGCCTACCCTCCGAGACGCAAAGCATTGGCGTTGGCGTCTACCTGACTGTTCTCTGTTCTGCGTGGCACTGGGCGGCGGCTTCCTAAGACCAGTCATCAGAAGAGCCTTCGTTTGCACACGACACTCCGGGTGCATATTCAGATTGGCATTTGCTCAGAAAATGACAGTCACAAAACACCATCTTTTCCACACTTACGCCTTTGTTGTGTACCCATTAATTTAATTCCTATCTATCTATCTATATTTATTTATTTATTTTAGAGAGATTTTTGTACTTGCCAGAGAGACAGAAAGCAAGAAATCACCTCCTGGGGGGATGGCCACACCACAGTCTCTTCTCCTTTATTCTCCTCTAGGGACCTAGGGCATGCACACTTATGTGCCTGGAGTTGTTTTAAGCTGCTGGGTCTGGTACTCGAACTGCAGTCAACTACGTGGGAGTCCAGTGATGTAAGCATTATGCCATCTGCTGGTTCCCCCATTGCCACAATTAGCAAGTGCTCATTGGGTCAGGCACCATGTATCCAGAGATGAATAGGGTGTTGTCGCCTGCTTTTAAGCATCCTTCCCCTCCATTGTGGGAAACAACCGCAGTGTTCTGTGCGCTGCTGTAGGTAAACGACACCAGGGGACGCAGTTTGTCTTCCTAGGGGTACCTCTCATTCTCTGTCTGGCTTTCAGATGTGAGAGTCAGTTCCGAGGCTCCTTGTTTAACGTCTCTGCAGCTTACATTTGCATTCAAGCTGGCTCCTGGGAAGGAGCTAGTGGGATCCTAGTCCTCTTACACCATCTGTCGGCGCATATGTGCTCAGGGAGCGCAGCCTCACTCGGCACGGGCAGGAGCAAAACGCGGCCCGGAAAACAAACCCGCTGCCGGAAAATCACAGTGCCCTCCCTAGACCTTTCAGAATGCTTCGGGGCTGTAGGCTGTGGGGCCTGGGGACACCGTAGCATCCTTCTGTGTGTATAGGTCATTCAGGGGTGTTTGCATGGTTCAGATACAGCATTGACAGGCTGGAAAATGCATGCAGCCTCCCATTGAGAAATGCGTGTGTCCCAGATACCCACGTGAGCGTGGCCTGAATCTGTGTAGCCACCTGGCATTTGCTCAGTGTGTTGCTCTCAGGGGTGTGTCGCTTTTCCTCCTGCCGCCCTGATAGGAAGTGGTGCTGAATTAGTTCACATCCTTAAACCACAGTGATGACTTACTGCGATGCTCACGCACCAGGGGCTGCTGGTGACAAAACTGGATCTCGTTGCTGGTCTGGGGCTTCAGGCCCCTTCTCAGTCTGGCCCCTCCCGGGAGCTCGCTCATCTTTGAGTCCCACAGCGTCATTGGCCGTCCCGTTAGTCTGGCATTGATTCTGTTCTGACTCCTTTTGTCGGTTGCCTCTTCATTTTACGCCTGAGTTCTTCAACTCATTAGTAAGGTCTGCGTAGACAAGTATTTCTATTCTATACAGATTAGCAGGCACTTAGTGACTATCTGAATGATCAATAAGTAGGTCACGCACACTTAGTCTATTGAGGTTCCTTTTTAAAATTTTAAAATTTATCTTTACTGATTTGTCGAAGTGGAAGGGATCTGGGTAGGGAGCCCCTGGCTCTAAGGGGGCCATTGCTCTTGGCCGTGTCACTGATGACCACTGGGCACGAGATGAGTACGGCTCCCTGGGTGTGTGCCCACGAGACAGCTCCAGAGGTGATCCAGTTCCCCTCCCTCGATTTCACACAAGGAAATAATGTGATTTGTCAGGAGTCAGTGCCCACGTCGGAACATGAGCAAATTCCTGTTAGGAATCATTTCAGGTCAATTACACATACATTTGTTGAACATCACAACGAACCAGATGTTGTTCCAGATATCAAGGACACAAGACGGGGCATTATTCAGGAGCGCCAGGCCCCATGGCTCTGCAAGGTTTTGGAGCTGGTTGGAGACAGAGGTGGGAGGAGGGGCTTGTTTAGAAGGAGCTTTCTTTTTATTTCTATAAATTATTTTATTTATTGTTATTATTATTATTATTATTATTTTTAAATTTTGACCAGAGAGATTGAAAGAGAGAGGGAAAATGAAAAAGCAAG